AAGTACTACGGGGACCAACATTTTGTGAGAGTTGAGATATGGTCCAAGATGTCGGGCCGGACCATCCTGGCCAATCCCAAAACTCTGACAACAATGCTATAGGTACCGCTATGCTTAAGGTCTTAAATCCTCAATACAACAAAACCAACAACTCCATTGTCTCAAAACACTCCTATTAATAACATCAATCGAAAATCCAAAGCCTGCCAGATAAATCAACCCCACCATGAATCAAAACGAACCTCAATACAAGACATTTCATTGAAAGTCCCACATATCTCCCTGAAACAGATCAACTACAAAACTACACCGAAATTAAATATCAGATCCACATCCTTATCATAGATAACTAAGTCCACGAAAGACAAGTCCACCACGTGACATACACATCAAAATTCTGACAACCATGGTCATAAAAACAGAGTCTATCAAAACCGTGCTTGGCAATACCAGGCTAAATCAAAATTCCTCAATTTCATTCCATACCCAATCACTGGAATTACAATTCCTCAAAATGATGCCTAGCCATAACTAGGACGAGAAAACTTCACAAACAAGCCAAATCCAACTGCGATCCTTCAAAACCTCTCCTAAGGGTCAACCACATCCAGGCCTCTAAAATTAAAACAAGTCTCCAAAAGACATTCTCAAAAGAGCATCGAGCTCACCTCACAAATCAAAAAAAATCCTCAATAATATGGACACAAGTCCTCGTAAAATGATCTCACACAAATCAACTCACCCTGAGCACCATAACTCCGTCAACAAACACGGTAAAAACTCCCAAATGGAAGACATGAAAGAAAGAAAATCACCAGTCCTAAGAAGGACAACACCACGACTCCACCTCTGAAACAAAAGATAACAAGGTTAAAGACTTCACCCCCTACTAGGAAGTAAGTCGACCAAAATCCACCAAACCCTCACCAAGGACTCAAGACAACCATGGTGATCCGCACGGACCAACCGACCCCAAAACTGTGCACGAGGCGATAAAGAGAAGAGACAACCAAGAAAAAGAGGAGGAACCCTATCCCCCCTCGAGTGTTAACACAACGAACACAAAAATGGAGTGTTTTTCCCACCTTAGGGAAGCGGACAGCTCAAAACAAAACAAATGTGAAAACTCCTCCACAAGGAATCTCATAATAAAACCATTACAAAACCCACATACGCACTAAGTGCGACCGGAGGAAATAAAAGGGAAAACTAAACATGAAAGTCATGCATATGACAAGGAATGCAACTACCAAGTAAGCAAATCTACTCACATAGATAAAATAAAAGGTACATGCAGCATGTCTCCACGTAACGCAAAAGCATAGTAATAACATGGCATCTCTAAGCATGTAAATAAGGTATGCTAATGTCATACAACAAGAAAACAAATGTGGATAGACCTCTACTTACTCATGCATTGCAATAACATAAATCATACTACTAACATGGTAGTAAACGAAACTGTAGAAGATAAGATGATGCAACAATGAACCCTATGGATATCGTGTCCTAGAGTGTCTAGGTAAAAGGAAAACAAGTCCTAGCTATAATCTGACTCCAAACAGACGTGAGACCTTACCATAATGGTAAGACTCTAACAATCTAACTCCGAATCTAAAGGTGACACTACAAGTGACACTAACAGTGCAGTGCTCTCACTACCCGAAACATCAACCAATCGACTTGATCCCAAAAGCGTCATCACGTAAGAACTCCTCAAGGAAAATGGCAACTACAGCTATACCAATAACAACTAAATCAATCACCACGACTGATCCCTAAAAAAATCATCATCATCACTGATCAAAGGACAACGCCTATCAAAACAAAACCAACACTGATTCTATCCAAACTGCGCTTGTAGCTAGCCAACACGGTAGTATGACAGTGCTATGCACCCGACCACAAACGTACCCGCCCACGAAAATTGCAATCTTAGAGGAATCTTCCTAAACAACCAAGGATCCTAAGAGGTCCACAACTTCATCATGGCCCAAAACCAACAAATCTAGCACTACGGCTACGCCTAATGGCTCACCCCACGAGAGCCTAAACAAAAGGTGACCATCCACCTATCCAAAGCCAACGCTAGGTCAACAACGACCTAAACTACTATGAAACCAAACTGACAATTGCTAACAATATCTAAGAAGAGTGCCTAAACAAAACCAAAACACACCAAATATTGCACTAAGTGCAAACTCACCAAACAACCCAACCTCGAGGCAAACATCCGTGACTAATCCCAAGTCCTATCAAATACGCAAAACAATATGCATATACAAATCTAACCGAGTATACATCATATGTCATACTTCTTATACTAGAATAAAATCATGCTTTAACCAAACGATATACTACATATATCACCTAGGCACATAAACATGTTATCAAACCAAAACATGTTATCATAAAGCATATAAACAAATAGAGCATGGCAACATAAGCATGATATGCACCCAAAACCTGTCGTCTAAGGTATCAAACCTAGGAGCTCTGATACCACTTGTGACGGCCCAAGTTTTGTAAACCCGGTGCGTCAGTGATGACCAAAAGATAACCCGATAATGGATCCGAAATGTGGAAGCGAAAGGTGAAACAACGGTCTCTAGAGATACAATGCATCTCTAAGACACCAATGTGACCCTCAATGAGGTCACGGAACCCAAAGGAAACAAATGCAGAAGTGTCGTTTCAAAAACGGACAAAAAGAACCTAGGGGCAAAATGGTCATTTTACAAAAAGTGGATTCAGGTGCTATTGAGCACACCGTTGGAAAGACAATGACAAATTAGTCAAGTTCAAAAAAAATTTTACTCAATTTGGAGTCTGGACGGGGGAGAAAGGTCAAAAAAAAAAATGATGTCGTGACGGCCCGACGAGAACAACCCACCACTGCTGCAACTGAGAGTAAAAACGAGTATCTAAACGGACTTTTTTGGAAAAACTCAAAAAAGAAACCCCCCTAAAATCAAGTTTCCTACCCCGATCACAGACGAAAACAAAAAAAAATACATTGTATAATGCCCCCAAGAAAATCAGGTCAAGAGGAAAAAAACTAATCCGAGCTACTGCCCAAGTTTTGGAAATAGGGCTTCGGAAGGTTTTTAAATTGCCTAAATTGAAAATGCAATCTTAAAATGCACCCACAAGACCTTCGGAAGTTTCAGATCGGTCGTGACGATTTTCAAAAAAAAGTCGATGAATAGTACCAACTACATTTGTACTAAAAATTTGCAAAACCTGGTAGCATGGATTTTTTAGCAAAATATTATTTTTGAGGGCCAAGATGATGTTTTGTGGAAAAACACAAAGAAGAAACCCCCCTCAAAATTGAGTTTTCTACGTGACTCGCTAGGAAAAATGAAAAAAATGCTTTGTAAAATACCCGAAATGCCCCTGAAACAGAATAGGGTAAAACTCCCTAAAAATGGTACTTAGAGTTTTTGTTTCATCAAGGAAGGTATTGTTTGCCAAAGTGAGTATGCAAGTGCATGCAATATGGTAAAATAGATACACTAACATGGCCTAAAGCCTCTTTACATTCCATTAACAAGTTTTAGCATACAAAGCCTCCATTTCTTTCAAATAAGCTACAATGGCAATACTTGAGTTTTAAAGAGAACATGCTTGTAGTCTTTCATGTTAATGGCTCTTGGCCTCATCTCATACATGTCAAATACATTGTAAAGAGTGTACTTACGTACACATTACATTAATGGAATCAAATATACACATTTTGACATATAAAGCTATAAAGGCATTTCAAGCCAATCTTCACAAAATGAAAATCTTCAAGTCCACAAGTCATCCAAGCATAATGGGAGTCTCAACTTTAATTCTTGTACCTGAAATATGCCTCAGTATCGTAGGGGTGAGTAATATAAAGCTACTCGTAGGAAATGAACATGCATCGACCTAGCATTTACAATTATATCACCTTATGGTGAAAAATGTTAAAGGGGCTCATGCCACCTAACGTCTATATCAAGTGAGACTCGGGGAGCATCCTAAGCTACCCATGCAAGTTAAAGCGAACAACGGCATCCAAGTATATATGCTCAAGTACACTAAACTATATTAAAACATGATACACGACATACAAATATACATTTCCAAGTATACTAACCATGTTAAGACAAGTCACACAATGTCTAAGCATATTACCCAAGTATACATTTTATATGAAAATCTCATAAATCAAGTATACGAACATAAGTATATTAAGCTCAACAAAATGCACATAAGACAAGTATACATGTCACAAGTATACTAAATGAAAGTCAAACTCACGGAGCAAGTCACTATAAGAAATTAGGGTTCTTGCCACAAGACACTTCGTGGCAAAAACCTTCAAATTTCGTGGCGAAAGCCTTTTAGCCACAAGAAATAGCCTCGTGGCTCAGTCGTGGGAGTAGCCCCGTCACGGATTGCCAATAACCACGACTAAAATTTTTCGTGACAAAATGTGGAACTTTTGCCACAAAATTTGAACTCGTGGTAAAATACCTCCTTTCGCCACAAGCTATTTCATGGCTAAATAATAATACTTTCGTGGCAAGTAGCAATCCCGATATAGGAATTAATCGTGTCTAATTCAATCATTTTGCCACAATAATATTTATCGTGGTAGAATAGGTCTTTTTCCACGAAATTTATTCATGGCTATAAATTTAATTGCCCACGAATATATGTCATGGCAAATATCCAAAATAGGCCACAGAGTTTTTTTCGTGGCTATAATTTTAATTGCCCACGAATATATGTCGTGGCAATTATTCAAAATAGGCTACGGAGTTTATTCGTGGCTATTCTATTATTAATAAAATAAAATTTAATTTAATAGCTAAAAATATATATTGTGGCAAATACCAAAAATAGACCACATATTTTTCGTGGTATGATAAAAATTTGTGTTAAACCTGTAAATTATTAACATTATAAACAAAAGAAATAATTTCAAAAAAAAAATATCACATCGACGTGATTATGCAAACAAATAAATACTTGATATTGCATAAATTACACCAACCAAAAAATGTATTGTTTACAACATACATAATAAAGCCCATCGCGTAAAAAAATGAGTCTTAGCATCTAAAACAATTTCAACTCCAATAATTTGGACCAAAACAAGCTAGTATCTTAAATAAAATGTTTCAAGATCTGAGACAAAAATGAGCTATATATTCCTAAACAAAGGATTCAAAGACCTGAACATACACTACTTAAAACCATCTTAAACAAAAGGAGCTTGAAGTCTTGTAGCATGAGCCCATCCAAAAATCTGCAAAACAAACAATGAATAAATACAATTAGTGCCTATGTCAAAAAAAAAATATATATATATATATATATAAAATAAATAAATAAATGACCAATACGACCATTATGTAATATTACTATATTAAAACATCAATGTATCAAATTCTAGATTACAAATTCTATTATTCATCATTAAGTAAATTCTAAGTGATATAGAATTGATTATTTCACATATCAAAATATTAATTAAGCAATCCACCAACTCAACCTATTAATGGCATCAACAACTAATTGGACAAACTTCAATCATTTCAAACAATAAATAGTCCCAACTAGTGTAAAAAAAAAAAATTTGAAAAGATCTAATATAATGAGTCAATCACTTCTAAAAGTCCGTAGCACCACAAACTTTTTGCATTTCCACATCCTTCTGTACTAACCATATTTTAAAAAATGACTCTTATCGATTTCTGTGTTAGAGCTTTGAACAATCGCCAAACGTTGCCCCTTTTTTCACCTCACAATATGGTAAAATAAGTCTCTCTCTATAGTGTGCAGGCGTGGGTTTTAAAATTTTCATGGATAAATGAGCTGCAACAATCTCCATCTAGATATGCAAAAAAAAAAAAAAAAAAAAAAAAAAAATGTACTACTTATCAAAAAAAAAATGTACTCCTACTAAAAAGCAGTAAACTAATGTCGGAAGTAAATTTCCAGAACTTCTAACTTGATGATACCTAACTATCACATGCGTATATAAAAGTGGTTATTTTAGTTTACAAAAATGACTATAATTATTTAGTACAAATTATGTCTAAGACTTTGTTGAAGACCATAACTCGTAATCATGACTATATAGAGGTGAATCCAGCAATCTGATATTGCTGATTATAAATATATATATCACACCCACTAGTATTGCTCATTGTAAATGAAAATAGAGTACTAGACAATCAAATATCAGATCTAAACATACCAAGAGTAGCAACATCAATACTCACTGCCAGTATAATTAGTCATTGTCTATAACATTCCATAGGTAAGACTAAATGTTGTTCTAAATACCCCTAATTTACTTGTATACTCAATAAAGTGATACATTAATATCAAAGGTTAATTCACAAAAATAGTCAAGAAATTGGCAGTTTCATCTTTGCAGTAAATTACTTATTTGGAGTTCAAACTTTCGTTTGAAGGAGTGTATATCCGGGTACCTGGGCGATTTCTTCTGAAGCTGAAACTTGCCTTCATTTTTCCCCCTTTCGAACTGAAAATTTGTCCAATGTTATACATTTATACCCAGGGACATGAGTAGTGATATCATTTTTCCTTACGAGTCCTCCAATCAAGTGAATATGTAAACACATGAATTGAAATCATCTCACCATAAACTAATGAAAACTTAATTTATTGAAATTATCAGCACATAGTAACATTTACAATTTTACAGGGAAAGGCAGAGATGAAAGAGAAATTAGAAAATAGCACCTGGGTTAGAGAGGGTTAGGGCTTATCCTCCATGCTTGAAGAAATAACTTCTGTGATTGAAGAAAAAAATTAGAAAATCGATGAGGTCAGAGAAGGAAGAAAGCAAAAGAATAGAGATTGATGAAAGTTTAGAGATTGAAGAAAGGAGAACAAGGCTGGGTACCTGGGTGATTTTGTTATGAAGCTGAAACTTGCGAAAGACGAAGCTCTAAACAATCATCCTTTGTGATTGAGTCAAAGTCGTGTTTGTGCTTAGAGAGGGTTAGGGTTTCATTGATGGATTCAAGAGAGAGTCGGCTAGGTTTCGTCTGATATTGAGAGGAGTACTGACGTGCGGCTTAATGAAAAAAGTAACCGCCAAGCTTAAATTTTCACTTCAAAATGAAAGTAGCATTCTGTAAGGGGCCAAGCGGCTTGTTGTAGAAAGCCCATTTTAGAAGGGGTCAGGCGGGTCTGTTGTAGAAAAATATCTTTCTACAATAGGCCATGTAAACCTATTTTCTTGTAGAAAGCCCTTTTTACAAGGGATCATATTGCCTATTGTAGAAAACCTATTTTCTTGTAGTGGGGGCACGGCTGCCCAAAAAAAAAAAAAAACAATACAGAGTATATATATATATATATATATATATATATATATATATAACAACTATAAAATTTAAAAGGCAAAAAAGAAGAAAATTATTCAAATATGCACGTTAAAAACAAGATTTTAATACTAGAAGTAAAAAAAAAAAAAAAAAAAAAAAAATTGAAAGAACTTTAAAAGGAAAAAGTTATAAAATTTTAATTGAAGAAGGAAATTTTGACCTTTTTGTTAAGGAAATTTAAGGAATTTGAAAAGAAAAAAGAGAAAATAAAGAAAAAAATAAAGAGATAATTTTAGGAATCACAAAATTTAAGGGAGCACTGCAATTTTATATATATATATATATGGAAAAAATTAAAAAAAAAATATTACTACATATATTATAGAGTGCGGGCCACATGCCCCCGGGCCTTCATTAGCTCCGTCCTTGCTTGCTAATAGATTGATCAATTAGAGATAACTTTACTTAATGATCAATGATGGAGAAGTTGGCATGACTTGCTATAAGATTGTAATTAATTGAAATATATATTTGTAGAGAACGTTTGAAAAGTTTAATTATTACCTATTACTCATAAATGTATTAATTATATAATTTTTTTAAAAAAATTTAATTATTAATTATATAATGTATTTAATTAATATATAATTTATGTTATAACTTTGTCCATTATGCGAAAAATAAGAAAAACAAAATTCAAAATATATCTAAAGTAAAAACATTTTGTTAGAAAAGTTATAAATATTTAAATTTCATTCAAAAAAACAAATTTTTTTTTTTAGTTTAGGACATTAAATTCCATGACACAAGTAGTTTTGTTTTTTAAATAAAGATTAATTCTTCAATAATGCTTTGTTCGGTAAAATAAATAAAAAATAAAAAAAATTTGGCGTATGCAATCAGCGATGGAAAAGGAGTTGCAGAGACTAGAGACAATCCGATATAGTGATATGCGGCGTATGCTGATATAAGTTTTGAACTTTTGATTCTCGCATTTGTAGAGACTAGAGAAAGATATGTATGTTTGGTTTGTAACTTTGAAAACAGTTCTCGAGAATTTAGAGAATAGAAAACTATTTTCAGATAATTATAAAAAACAGTTATCTGAAAACAGGCCTTTTATAACTGAGTTTTCAGAAAACAGTTCTCAAAATATTTAACCAAGCAAAAATTTTTGTATAATTTTCTATTTTGAATTTTCTAAAGTAGAATTTTTTGTACAGTTTTTTGTTTTTAATTTTCTGAAAACAAAACTTTGACATTGAACTAACTCATTCTTTTAGCAATGACTTTATGTGTCTATTGCTAGTGGATATAGGAACATGCATGTGAATGATGATATGATATGCATGGTCCTATAGAGATGAGCTTGAAATGGATTCATAAATACTTTAACATTGAATCCTAAACACTCACCATACTATTTACCCCTTTCTTCAGGCTTTATCCATACAAGATTGTTTAGGCTTTAAAGTATTCTTGCTTTCTTCCAATTTCTTTGAGTTGCTTGTTTGCTCATTCATTGTAGTCCAAGCTATCTTTGGATGGACTTGCATTTGGTTCCTTGCAACTTCATGTCTCTTTGTATTCATTCTTTTCCATTGATGTAATCTTTATTATTTCATTGAGGTCATTTTTTGAAGATGAATCATCTATAATACTCAATGTATATAATTAAACATTAGTCCACAAACACCATTAATGATTTGTAATCTTCAAAATCACTAAATTGTTTTTGGTTAAAGGTTTTGTGCTAACAAAATCCTATATACTTTTAAGATCTTTAATTCCATTAATTCCTAAATCACTAAATCTTTTATTTATACCCTTACTAAATAGAAGTAAAATATTGAAATTGTAAATTTATTCAAGATTTGATATATTATCTATATTTTTTTTATTATATCTTTAATTTTTAATTACTTAAAAATATTGCATTATGGATTTATATATATATAATGATTAATTTAAATTCAATTTAAGAATATTTAGTACGTTTTTTTTTTTAATCTTTTCTGTATGACAAGGAGTGGTATTTAAAAAGGGTCAAATTTAAAGGAAATGTCATTTTGCAGTTTTATTAACAATTAATTAATTTGCCTAGGGATTTGGTGTTCTAGGCCCCTTATTTAAGGAATTACAAAAACTAAATAAATAAATTAATAATAATAGTCAACAAAGATATCCTAATTGTTACGAAAACAAATTTGTTACAAAAATGGCATTTCGCCACAAGTATTGAAAATTCATGGCAAAATAGTTCCTAATTGCCATGAAAACAAATTCATTGCAAAAATGGCATTTCGCCACAAGGATTGAAAATTCGTGGCAAAAGATACTATTTGCCACGAAAAAAGTATCATTGCAAATATCTAATATATTTGGCACGAAAATAGTTTTGTGGCAATAGAGCATATCATAGCCACAACTAATAATTCGTGGCAGGATCCATCTTTTAGCCACGAGAAAAAAACTTCGTGCCAAAAAATTATATTTGCCACGAGAATAACATCGTGGCAAATTGTAAATTGATTTGCCACGAAAATATATACGTGGCAAAAGAAACATACAATTGCCACCAATGGTAATTCGTGGCATGTATAGCATTTTTGCCACAACTTTGTATGTCGTCCCTAATTTGTCGTGGCAAAATTAACATTTTACCACAAATTTTAAGGTCGTCCCTAATATTTGTGGCAAAAACTAGTATTTGCTACGAAAAATTTACTCGGTGGCAAATACTCATATATTAGCCACAAGAAATTAATTTTGTTGCCAAAAGATACTTTTTGCCACAAATTTTACGCGTGGCAAAAAATTTCGTAGCCAGAGCCCAAATTTGTTGTAGTGAGTATACAAGTTCAAGTATACTAAATAGTATTCAATTGTCCCAAACAAGCATCAATTCTCAAGCTACAAGTAATCCATGATTAACAACTTGAAATTAAATGCAAAAACAACAAATAGTGGAAAGACTATGATATGCGGTCGCTAGACCAAGCAAGTATTTTCGGGTAATTACGACTCACAAGGTACTACCTAGTATGCACTTATGACTTAGAAGACACTTGTCTCCGTACTAGAGCTAAACCCTAGCCATCACATAATATATGTCCTCACAAGCTTTCCAAAACCAATAAGTTCAAAACTTATACAAAATCAAATGCAAGTTACCATATTACATGCACAAGTAAGGTTGATTCCACACAAACCATGTCCTAGAATTCAAGTCTACATAGCATATGACATGTCAAGTCCTCAATATGCAATTTATACACAAAGCAAGAATATTTTACAACAATTGAGTCACATTATCATCCTAAGCCACAAGTACTAAATAAGCTTCAATTTAGTAACTAGTTTCTAAGGTAAACAATTGTAATATTTTAGATAAGCTATATACCTACACAAGATACATTTAAACAAGCTTTACTAATCAATGATATTCTATATCATGTTAAGTCTAAATACCATTTTAAGAGGCCACAAGTACTAAATATACTTCAAATTAGTAGCATGCTCACAAGGTAATTAGAATACTACATTTTAAGAGATTTTCAACCTAATCATGGAAAGTCTCTAGATTTTAAATCTATCCCAAACAATCTCAAATTAATCTATATTAAACAACATAGCATGCTCAATACATATATCAAATCAAAAGAGCAAAATAAGCAAGACATCATCATGTAGATTTTAATTAATTCAATTTTAATTAAATCTCTAAATTTCAAAAGTTGTTCAAATGATTCTAAATTAATATATAACAAGCACCAAATCATGGTCATACCATATCTCTAGTCTAAAATGGAATACAAGTAAAATACAATTTACTAGAATTTAAATCAAATTAAATCCATTAAATCTTTAGATTTGAAAACTCATCTAAATCATCCCAAGTCAATATATATCAAAGATCAACTCATGGCCATGCCATTTAACAAGTTTAAAATGAGTTACATGCAAGCTATGATAAATCATAATTTCTCAAATTAGCAAAAAACATGTATACAACTCATATAAGCATCAATAGCATGTAAGAAACAAAATATAACCTTAAAACATCCCCTACCTCACAAGAGGATTGTTCCTCTTAAATTCAAAGCAAATCAACACAAAATGGCAAACCCTTCAAGGGTTATGAAGAGGAAGATAAGAGGAAACTTTTGTCTCCCAAGGTTAATGATCTAAGGTGAGTGGAAGACCCTCAAAAATCAAGGTCAAGGCTTAAGGTTTCAAGCTCCATCCATGGAGGCTAGGGTTTTTGGTGAGAAAGGAAATGAAAACAATGAATGAAGTGTGAGTGGAGGAAATAGAAATCCTCCACTCACTATGTGATCTTACACCATGGTCAACACACATATCTATGGTGAATTGCACAAAAACCCTCCTTTAAAACCATAATCTCAAAGTGGCCCAAAGATATTTGCAAGACTAAATTGTAAACCTACACTTGTCACCAATCAATGGCTCCTTCCTAGGCTTAATCCCACACCTACACTTGTCAACCATCCAAGACAACAAGTGCACCAATCCTAGGCCAGCAAGTGGGTGAATCCTCACCCTCCAAATGTCATCATCCAATGCATCAAAGTGTTTCCACACAAATGTCAACAAGTGGACTTATGAGAGTGTGACACTTGTCACACTTTTTCAAAACTTGCAAAAAGGTCATTTTTGAAAATATCTTCCAAGTTTAATTGCAAAATGGTCCCCAAGATGAAAAATAATTACTTTATTTAATTACACTAAAACCCCACAAGTTAAGGATAATTACCCTAAAATATGCATTAATGTTCTTTTATGAAAGAAGTAAGCAATTAACGTACTTTTCTA